TGGGGGCAATGTGTGTGTCTGTGGCTTTTTTTTTATAATATATATATTTTTTTATTTAATTCGAATTTAATTTTTTTATTTAATTATTTATCCGAAATATGTCCCCCCTCCCTTCTTACCTTTACTGGGGAGGAGGGGGGACATACTTCGATCCCTGGTGGTCCGGTGGGGGATTCCCTGGTGGTCCAGTGTGGAGAGAGAACTCTAGCCTGCGCTCCCGGGCTAGAGTTCACTCTCGCGAGATTTGGTGCGTTGCCGTGGTAACCGCAGCAACGCTTCAAATCTCATGAGAGGAGGACCCGGAGGAGCTGCAGACTGAGCTCCAGGTCCTCTCTCTCACTCCCTCCCTCCCCTGCCGGCTCTTAGCACAGTGCCTGCCATGCTGGCAGGGGAGGGAGAGGGAGACCGGCGGATTTCTCGGGGGGGGGGGGCAATTGCCCCGTTGCCCACCCCCTGGATCCGCCACTGTCACACACACACTGCACCCCTTACACATTGCACCACTCACACACACCACTGCTCCTATGCCCTACTACAGCCCCATTTCCCAGCAGATCTCAGGTAAGTTGTCAAACTGTTTTAAACGGTTTGACTACTTACTGTGGGAGGGGGTCCCGGCACTATTGACACCATAACCACTACACTGAGCTGTAGTGGTTATTGTGTCTGGATTATTTCTTTAAATAATCTACAAGTGCCCCTCCCGAGATCAGGCTCTGGATCCGCCACTGGAGCCAACAAGATGATGATGCAGTGGAGTATATATGAGCCGGTCTTGTTGGAACCAGATACCAATGACACAGGAGCTTGCGACTTGTTTCCCAGTGCGTTAGACAATTCAAAACTCAACAAAAGTTGTTGATGGCTCTGTGCCAGTCACCGTGAGAGAACTTGCAGTGCAAGTCTCTCTCCCACTGGACAGCATTTGTTGGTTTAAGTGGGAGCCAAGGTTACAAATTAAAAGGGGTTGTATGTGTTTTTTTATTTCCAGACATAAAGTTTGAATTTAAGATAGTGGTTTGCTGGCTTTTGTTGGACATTATATGACTGTAAAATGTGTTTAATACGCAAGTATGAAAAAATGTCAGCTGGTCGAATTGGAAACGATTGAGCTAAGTTAGGGAACGGTAGGGGAGCATTCGCAGAGAAACATGTTAACATTATTGCTACAGTATTGAGGTGACTCAGTAGATCTGGGGGCAGTAGTTTGAGGGAAGAAGTCTGGGCTAGATATATCCCCACAGAATTTAATAAAAGTTTTGATGCCCAGTTGCTAGTTTTAACTAGTAAGTAGATATACCCCACCTGCCTCATGGCAGGAGGGAGCATAGGGAGGTTTCAAACCTCCCTTATGGTAATGTAAGATTATTGACCCCCATAGGTTTTTTTAATTTGTTTATTTTTTAAACTTTTTAACCCCTTAAAGACTGGACTGTTTTTGCGATGTTGTACATTTGCGACCAGGCATATTTTTACACTTTTGTGGTGTTTGTGTTTGGCTGTAATTTTCCGCTCTCTCATTTACTGTTCTCATACAAATTATATTTTTTTTTTCAGGACAAAAGGGGCTTTCTTTACATACCATTATTTATATAATCTCATGTATTTTAATTTAAAAAAAATAAAAAAATATGATGAAAAATTGAAAAAAATACATGTTTTTTTACTTTTACTTGAAAAATCTTTTACTCATCTACAAAAGCGAATGAAAAAAACTCCTAAATAGATTAAAAATTTTGTCCTGAGTTTAAAAATACCCAGTGTTTACGTGCTTTTTTGCTTTTTTTTGCATGTTATAGGGCTATAGGTACAAGTAGGATATTGAGGTTTCAAAACATACATTTTTAAAATGTATCAATAGTGACATTGTAACACTATTATCTGTCATAAATCTCGGAATAACACCCAACATGTACATATTTTTTTTTAAAGTAGACATCCCAGGGTATTCAATATGGGGTATGTCCAGTCTTTTTTAGTAGCCACTTAGTCGAAAACACTGGCCAAAGTAAGCATTCATATTTGTTTGTGTGTGAAAAAAGTAAAAAAACTAAATTGAACGCTAATTTTGGCCAGTGTTTGTGACCAAGTGGTTACTAAAAAAGACTGGACATACCCCATTTGCAATACCTTGGGTTGTCTTCTTTTGCAAATGGTTTGCCATCATGGGGGTAATTCTCATTCCTGGGCTACCATACGCTCTCAAAGGCAACGTAACCAACCTGGCCATTTTCAATGTAAAAATATTTGACCCATATATTTAACCATGTAACTTTCAAAAATGCTATAAAACCTGTACATGGGGGGTACTGTTTTACTCGGGAGACATCGCTGAACACAAATATTAGTGTTTAAAAACTGGAAAACGTATCACAACAATTATATCATCAGTAAAAGTGCTGTTTGTGTGTGAAAAATGCAAAAAAAGTCACTTTCACTGACAATATCATCGCTGTGATATGTTTTACTGTTTTGAATCACTAATATTTGTGTTCAGCGAAGTCTCCCGAGTAAAACAGTACCCCCCATGTACAGGTTTTAGGGTGTCGTAGAACGTTACAGGGTAAAATACAGTGCTAGCAAATTAAATTCTCTGGAATTTCGGCCTGGGTTGGCAGGCAGGTCCCTCAAATTGCAATCAATAAAATTACTGAATTATGTAAAAATATTACATAAATACGCACGTAGAATTTAAATATATATGCATATTTATATATTTGAAGTCTACGTGTATATTTATATAATTATTTATGTAATTTTGTATATGGACATATGTATATTTCTTATTATTTTTATTTATTTTTATATACATAGATATATATACAAATTCATTCTAAGTGTATTTTGATATAAATATATATATATTAATTTTAAAATACAGTTAGAATAAAATTTCATATAGATATATAATTTTTTTTCAATTTTTATTATTATTTAAAAAAATTTAATTTAATTTAAATTACTTATTATTTATATTTTATATTAATTTATATATACAATATATATATATAATTATATATATTATATATATACGTGTGTAATTTAATTATAAGTGTATTTTTATATTAATATAAGTACATATTAATATAAAAATACACTTAGTATGACATTATATATATGATATATAGACATATATTATTTATATATAAAATATGTATATATATCATATTTATATACACATATATAAAAAAATTTATTTTTAATTACTATTAACTTTTTTTTATTTTTTTTTATTTTACACATGCAGGGAGACTGCCTGTCAGCACAGACAGTCCCCCTGCAGGCAGACACATGGACACCTATTGTGACCATGTGATCGCTGTGTTGAGCAATCACATGGCCACAGGGGTCCTAATCCAGTGTGGGGAGACTGTCTGGGCTGCAGGCAGTCTCCCCACACCAAGAGCAACGCTGATCGCCGCCGGGGGAATGACGGCGATCGGGTAAGTAACTAGGACCGTTAGGACAGTTCAGGACCGTCATCTGTCTGCAATGGGAAAATGCCGATGACGGTCCTGAACTGGTCCTTAAGGGGTTAATGTGGCAGCTGGCTAGCAAGCGATAGCAAGCGATAATCATTGCACCACTGAGAATTATTTAAGTATTTGTTTGCTGGCTGCTAGTGTGAGTCTGAGGGAGAGTGTGTGTTGGAGTGAATTACAAAGTGACTGATGCACAGAGATACACAATGACGTACAGAAACACACACATTGACAGATACAGATACAAAATCACTGTGTGTGTGTGTGTCTGGCAGTGTGTATTGTTACCTGTGTGTGTATGCCTGGCATTGTTTAACTATGTATGTGCAATGAGTATCCTTGTGCATGTGTGAGTTTATATCTGTGTTTATGTGTATCTGTGTCTGGAATGCATATGTGTGTCTGTGTTTGTCTGTGTATTTCTGTGGGCATGTGTATCTGTGTCTGGGAGCATATGTGCTGGGACCGCTTGTTGGTAAGCAGGTCGGGTACTCTTGTGGGTTCCGTGCTCGAGTTTGAGGTTGCGTGTATTGTCCCGTCGGGAGGCTACGCTGGGGCCACCCGGGGGGTTCCACCACAGGCAACGGCGGGTCACCGGGTGGATCCACGCCGCCGCCGCTTTCACCGCCAGTCTGAAGGGTCGTCTCCAGCTCCCAAACTTCTCCCACAGGTATGAACAGAGCCTGTTGAAGAGCTCCGTTATGTGCTTGGGTGGCTTGAGAGGCGAGTGCTTCTTCCTGCGATGTATCTGCGCCGCCATCTTAGCTGGGCCCTGTTGTCCCTGTTTGGGCGCGAGTTTGTCGCTTGGGCTTAAAGGGGAGCTGTGGTCGGTGCGCTGGTGCCGTGATAACCCCCAACGGCGGAGGGGGGGAAGCAGGAGCCCCGTCTGCCTCTTTGTGCTCCAGCAGTGCAGGTAGCAGGGAGACCGGCCGTATCTCCCCAGCCTCTCCCGCAAGCAGGCCCCAAAGAAGCTCTGGGTTTTGACCGCCGGTCTAGTGGTGAGATGCCATAAGAAGTGTCTCCTGTGGTCGTATTGTAATTCCAGCCGGGTCGGAGCTTAATTTCTTGGGTAGAAAGTCGTTATTTTTATTCGTTTGTTTTTTCTTTTCAGGAGCTCACTTCATGTGCGACTTGTCTGCATGGCGGTCAGGCCCCGCCCCCCTCTGTTATTATTTTAATTACCCACCTTCCCTCCTCCTCCTTTCCCTCCCTCCATTCCACAGCCCCTCCCCTTGCCGGCTCAGAGAGCACGCATACACCCTGAACCGGTAAAAGGGTCTGATCAAAAACTTCTCTATAAGACGCCTTTGACTGGACTTCGATGAGGCTCCCATGAAGTCACATGAGGGTTCGTCGAGCAGCACTGGGGAGCTTTGCTTGGCACAGGATTAAGGTAAGTAAACTCTAGTTTAAAACACTCTTTTCAATGCCAATAGAGCATTATTCTATTAACTATTAAAAAGGGTTGAAGAGACCCTTTAAAATGATGCCATTCAATTACTTGTTCAAATATATATTTTGCAAGACAGTTAAATTTAGACTCATGTACAATCTCCAGCTACTGTCAAACCACAACCCCCATGATCATCAACTCACATTTGGGTAGCCAGTTATCTGATGTTTCATAATCAGGTACTTGCAACAATACTAGAGTATGTAATTTATACAGAGTGCAGAATTTTTTTAAATCCAGACAATACCTCATTATGTAACCTTTGGTGTCTTTTATTGATTGGGCCATCAAAAAGCAGTGTGATCTGTAGGAATGTGTGCCATTTAGATGGCAAGATTTCAAAGGGATACTATATTGTGTAGTGTAATTCACATTTTGTAAGCAAAATTAAAGGTTGAGAAACTCTCATTATTTAACTAACACTTTTCTTCCACTTACTCTCCTCTAACAGTTATTGGCAGCTCTGCTGCTGTTATCCTTGGGGACTTTAATATCCCAATAACAGCTCTGATGTATTTTGACTGCTTTCTGTAACCTCCTCCTTCGGCCTCATGCAATGGTCTAACTCAGCAAGTCACACACTTTTTTTCCCTTTTTTTAAATTCATTATTTTTGCAGTGACAGCAAGGAATAGTATATAACATCAATATTACTAAGTACACAATACAAACGTGTGATGTAAAAATGCTATGTAGCAAAAATCGTGGACCGGTATCATTATATATGTGCAAATAGTTGAAAAGGCAGCATAGTTGTAGAATGCACTTGTGGTGTACTTCTATGTGTGCAAAAAAAACCCTGTCAGAGTAATTTCCTTTTTTCTTTGTAAAAAACAAGGAAACCAAAGAAAAATTTGAGGATTATAGGAGAGCAAAAGCAAGAAGGGGAACAGAGGGAGACATAGAGGAAAAGATTAGGAAGAGAAAGAAGAAAAGATGTCGGTCCAGTGGATGCCCATCAGGCCATTTAACAGAGGGCACAGTGGGTAGCTGGGAGGAGCTGTGATACAGATATGTAAATACACACACACAAATATAGATATATATATATATATATATATATTTATATTGGGGGGCAGAGGATAGCATACCCCCAGACCACAGCACCCTATCCCCCCATGTCAGTAGTGGACCACGAGTCCCATATCTTATCAAATGTATTTGTCGTGCCTCTGACTTGTGCAGTCAATTTGTCCATTAAAAAGGTATCTTTTATTTTCTGTATCACTGTCTCGATAGAAGGTAGGTCAACCTTTAGCCAGGACTGTGCCATAGCTCGTCTGGCGGTCAAGGTCAATTTATGTAAGAGTTTCTGTTCAGGTTTGGGCCAGTCATCTAAGGACCTTAATAGCAGGAAGACCCAGGAAACAAGCTGAACTCGTCTTTGGAATAGCTCAGTGCTATAAGTGCCTCTCTGGCCACCAGCATGTCCTCCAGCAAAGATCGTCCAGGGTCTTGTGCATGTGAAGTTTGATGGGTGTAGTATACCAACGAAACATGGTCTTGTAGGACTGCTCTTGTAGGGTAACACATATTAAGGTTTTGTTGTTAGCTTCACATATTTCCAGCCACTTAATACCCTCTACGGTCTAACCCAAGGCTGTTTCCCACTGATTTGTGTAATGCAATTGTGGCAAATGTGCCTATGAAACAAGCTCCCAGAGGAACCTGCTAGCTAGCCTCTTGCCCAAGGACTATAGAAACATCCAAAGATGTTTCAATTAACCAATTAGAGTGTTGTTATGAGTCAAATTACACAGCGTGGGAAAATTCCAAAGAACTTTCCCACGCTGTGTAAAATGACTCAGAGCACTCTGATTGGCTGGATTTCAAGCTAACCAATCAGAGTGCTGTGACAGGTAAATGTAGAGACTTACCTGTCAGTTTCTTCATTTACCTGTCACAGCACTCCGATTGGATGGCTTAAACCAATCAACCAGAGTGCTCTGAGCCTAATTGCAGGGCGGGGCAAGGCTTTATAAGCCTTCTCCCGCCATGCAGAGCTCAGTCTGCGCGGAGCCCTCCATGAGTGAAGATGGATTATTTTTTTTGCACTCAAGTTTTTAAAAAAAAATTTCAAAGTGCGACAGTTATTATGGATTTGTATTTAGCCTTTTTTGGGCTGAAAAAAGAACATTTTAAACATCAAATGGTAAGTTTTATTTATTTTTTACAGTTATTGGCAGCTCTCCTTTCATGAGATCATTAAACCAGGCCTCTAAGTGAGGCACAAGGTCCTCTCAGAATGTTTTATAATACCCTCAGTCAGAGCCATCCAGTCCAGGTGCTTTATGTCCCCTCAGCATTGTAATGGCTGCTTTGATTTCTTCCAGTCAGTTTGAGCATTTTTAATTTGGAGAGGAAGAATTGAATGGGTACAGTACCCCCCCTACATTGGGAACATAAACAACCTGGGTATATTATTTAAAAAACTGTGTTTTCAGAACTCGTTTGCACTCCTTATGTTCTCGTAGCCATGTGTGAAATGCGCATTGAATATTATACTGTACTTGACCGATCATTAGTTCAACTACTTTCTGGTTGTACTTTTAACTCTGTACTATTTGTTTACTATGAGATAATGACAGGCTGACAAATATTTAGAGATGATGTAGCAATTGTTTTAGATTACGAATACTGGTCCCTGCCTACGACTTTATTTCTGACTGATTGTGCAGTGCTTCACATGAACCTCTGTAACAGTTCTATCATTGCTACCCATCTCTCTCTATTTTTATGCTCTCACTATTTTGGGGAGAAATTATAGAGGAGCCTAATTACATAGGTATGAGACAGGTAATAAATCTTTTCTGGTTAGATTTGGAAAGTTAGATAACCCTGTAGCTTACACTGCACTTTCAGTGCTACTGACTGCCTGTTTCTGTGCATTGATTATTGATTATATAAAATAAACATGTCAGCGCTATACTGAAAAAACCCTAAATTGTATACTGGGTAATCCACATGTAGTCTATGAAATTGAAACAACTGTGTATGCACTATTGCAGTTGGTAATAAAACAAACTTAAAAATGATCCGCAGTATATATGTTCCAGTATGTACTATTTCAAAAACTGTATAAATACTGTAATGTCCAAGAGTCCTTGGGTGGTAGCACAGAGGGTTAATCTTGCCACACAGGTGGCATCCACAGTCTTAGGATACACTATATACCACAGTGATAGTAGTACCTTAAATGGATGCAAAAAAGATCCACATAAAGTAACACTGTATTTATTGGCAAAATAAAAACACTCTCTCCCCCAAAAGGAACCCCTACATTTACATATGATAGTACTTGTTTCCAAGGACCACAAATCAAGCGTGGGTTTATAAGAGTTGGCGAAAGCTTTACTTCCCCATACTCCTGATCATACAGGTCCTGGCTGAGTCTCCTTGCTGAAGAATGAAGTGCTTGTGTTGGAAGAATGCCAGAGCTGGGAGTTGGTACTTAGGATCACTGCTCGTTCACCACTCGGAATCAAATGCCGCTCGCGCTTCAACGCATTTCGCCCATGTCAACAGGCTTTCTAAAGATGGTGCGGCAGCCACTAAGAGCGTTCATATATACTGTCATGTCTTCCACGTTCCATTCTGTGGATATTTCTGGCCTTGGCTTCTGTTATCCAGTACTCTTTTTACAATTCTTGTTCAGTTTTTCTGTTTTTTTTTCCTATGTCTGGTTTTCTTTATGCTGGGTTTTCTGGGTTAATTCCTTTATTCCGTTCCTGAAATTCCCAGTCTCCTGGATTCCTTTAAATGTTTGTTTTCTGTTGCCACATCCGTTCCTTTGCCATTAATCCCTTTAGTTTCAGTTTGTTCCTGCTAGCAGTGGTCTCATTTCCTCTGCTTCTTTCTTTGCAGGTAAGTAGTGTGTGTTATAGTTGTTTATTTAGTCATGCATATTAGTTAGGACCCACCGTAATTGGAGTACTTTGGTGCAGTGGTGGGCTGCATACATGTTGGCCATTTATGTATGTCTAAATCTCCAATGTTTATTATATATAGTACTTAGTTATTTCTTCTCTTGTTTTGCCTTGTATGTCTTGTCTTGTTTTATTTTGTCTTGTATTCTCAGTTCATGTACAGTCTTGTCCTGCCCTGCCCTCTCCATGTCCTGTTCATGTTTCCCTCATGTATTGTGTAATGTACATGTTCTGGGTTCTTCTTTCTGGCCTGCTTCGGTTCTTAGTTCTTCTAGTCTTGTCTTATCTTGTTTGGTGCCTATTCTAGTCTTACCTTGTTTCTAGTACTGGATACATATCTGCTTTATATCAGCTCCTGGCATCCACTTAAGCTGCATCAGGACTCTGGTGTGTGGCCGCACAAACCCTGGTGCTCAACACCAGGGGGCGTGTGGTTACCCAGCACCAGACCCTGATTGTCCATTTGGACCAACACCTGTGACATATACGCTCACATAAGTCTGTCCTTAAAGTGCCAGATTACCTCAAGGAAAGTTTTTACTTTCATATTTCCATGAAAATGGCTCTCCCTTACAATATGTATTAAATGGGGGTTTCAAAGGCACATAAAAAAAACTTGTAAAAGTGTGCAAGTGATACAAAACAGTTTTCATGGTAATATACAAATATAAAATAGTAAGTTAGTAAAACTTGATAAAACAGACAAAATATAAAAAGCTGGCTACATCAGAGTAAAAAAGACTTGGCTAAGAATCAAAGACGATAAACAGACTCAATAGACATACATAAAGTTTGTTTGGAGATTAAATAATTCTAATAGAAAAAAAATATATATATAGAGAGAGAGAGATAGATAGATCATAACGACCTTAAATCCAAAAAACAGAGCCTCTTAATATCTTCAAAATAATATAAACTACATATCTGAGGTAATATTGAAAAAGAATATGTGTTTGATAATATGGAATAATGTAAAAAATGGGGTATTACCTTAACGTGAAGAGAAAAAATTCTGGAGGACCATATGTAGACAGCTAAAAATATATATATATGGTATATATCGTTTATAAGGAATATTATATGTATATACACTCTCATAAATACTATCATTAATGATAATGGGTATAATTCTCAATAGAATTAATAAAGTAGAAAAAAGTAAAAACGCACTACAAATTAAATTCGAGCTGTCAGGTATTTTATGATTGAGAAGAGTGTGTTGTTTATGTTCACGAATTCTGGTTTTATATGTTAATTTGTAGTAGGAGGAGTTTTTATACATTCACAGTTTTTACTTTTTTCTATTGTATTTATTCTTGTGAGAATCATAACCATTATTATTTTTAATGAGAGTATTTCTGAGTGGGTATATACATATATTCCTTATAAACGATATACACCATATAATTTGTTTTGTATTTGTTTTGCCAATAAATACAGTGTTACTCTATGTGGATCTTTTTTGTATCCTTTTAAGGTACTACTATCACTGTGGTATACAGTGTATCCCAAGACTGTGGATCCTATCTGTGTGCCAAGATTAACCCTCTGTGTTACTACCCAAGGAGTCTACCCAAGGAGTCTTGGACATTACAGTATTTATACTGTTTTTGAAATGGTACATACTGGAACATATATGCTGCGGATCGTTTTTAAGGTTTTTTTTATTACCAACTGCAATAAAGCATATACAGTTGTTTCTTTTTCATAGACTACATGTGGATTACCCAGCATACAATTTAGGGTTTTCCCAGTAAAGCGCTGACACGTTTATTATTTTATTTTTTATTATCTCTTTTTTATTATTTCAAGACAATATGAAACAACAATGCATGTATCACAGCGACATTTCACACAAATGTTATAAGCATGACAATGTGTCAGTACATACACACAGTGGAAGCTGTTTTAAGCATTGCCTGACGGTGAGATTAAATAAAATAGCAAAAGTAACATTTATAAAGGTTGCAAAATAGTAATAATGACAATAACAAAAATAAGAAAATAAACCTCAAAACATAAACCAAGAAGTAACCTTCTTAGCGACATTCGTGGCTTTTGAAGTGGTTGTGTCTAGATGCGTGGCTTTGGCAGGGTTGAGGGGATGGGCTAGGGCTCAGTCCATCTCTAGGGACTTGTGGTGGTGTCTGTCCTGCAAGTTGGATGGTGTCTGGCCTAGGGCTGGGTAGGCATCAGATATGTTACCCATGTTTGCCATATGAGCCTATAGGTATTGGCTTTGCCCAGCGAGCTCTATCTGAGTTCTTCCATTTTTCATGGACCACTCCCTCCCATCCGGCCTCCGCTTAGTTTTGCAACAGGATGTGTTTGTGGCCTTTGCTGCTGTCAGCATGAAGTATATAAGAGAGAGTATTTTATCTTATTCAAGTGCACGTTAACTCTAAAGAATAGCATAGCATCTGCTTCTAACGGGAGGGCTTGGCCAGTTAAGGTTTTAATTGGTCCCCTACCAATTTCCAAAAGTCCAGGACTCATTCACAAGTCCACCATATATGAAGCATGTCACCCTTTACTTTCTCACACCTCCAACACAAGGGGGACGATGATGGGTCAAAATGGTGACTATCAATTGTTGTGAGATACCCGCTCGAAGTTGACTTGTAATCACCTCATGCAGGGATACACTTGAGTGTGCGTGGAATATAATATGAAAAGTGTCAGTCCACTCTCTCTCACTACTTGAATACCCCATCTGGTGTTTCCATTTGCGAGTATAGTGTGGAAGTGTTGTGTTCATTTCAGATTGAATTAGTCTGTAACACTTAGAGATAGCCTTGGACGGTGTAGTGGTTTAAGAGCACATTTGTTCAAATTCTGTACTGTCTCTATTGCCGCTAACTGGGAGGCAGAGTGTCTTCAGGAAATGTTTTAATTGGAAGAACTGAAATGATTGTGCTATGGTCGGGAGTCTTGGTGCCGTCAAGTCATGTATTGTCTTCAACCCCGATTCTCCCCATATACTTTCTAGGGGTATATATGATATATTCAAAGTTATTTTTTACCGGCCATTGCAGGCCCTGTGAGCCAGCCGGAAAGAGCACGTTGGGAGAGATGGGGTACCTAGTTGAGGGGAAAGGTGAAATTCCCCCTAGTGGGAGTACCTTCCTCCATACCTGTAAGGTGGCAGAGATTGTAGGATGGTTGGGGGTGGGGTAGTCCCCAGAAACAGTGAATGTCCAGGGTAGAGCTTGTAGAGTGGTGTCAGAAAAGGATTGTTCAATTGGGATCCATAGTTTGGATACTGGTCTTACAGACCAGTCTATGATCTGTGACAAATGTATTGCATAGTAGTAGTGTAATATATGGGCGTGTGGGGATATGGTAGGCTAACCTAGGTTTTTTTACCTGCCCAAATGAATTTTGTGATGAAGGATTGGAGTGTGTTAAAAAAAACTTCCCTGGTAGTCGAACAGGGATTGTATGTAGCAGATAACGCATGCGAGGAAGGATATTAATTGAAATGATATTGACTCTACCCAGCCACCGGAAACGGGGTTTATTCCACAGCTTTAGGTCACAGGCAATGTAATTTGACACGTTTATTTTATATTGTCTATTGTAAACATTTTTAAGGAAGTTTCAAGTATGTTTAACTGCTTTTTTACAATTTATTGTATCATTTTTACTCTTAATTACTATTTTTTATTGTGCTCTCCTATTTCTCTTTTATTATTGATTACTCACTAAACTTAAAAATTGTAAGTTGGATATTTTCTTATTATTCACTGGTGAATATTAATAAATCAGGGATTGGGTGCCACACGGACTACCTGGTATATTTACTGCAGTGTCCATGTGGCAAACAATACGTGGGAAAAACTAAAAGACTCCTTAAGATCCGTCTTATGGAGCATATCAACAATATTAGAAAAGGTTCAACAACCCATTCTGTGCTGGTGCATTGTAATTCATGCCCCTCCTTCAATTGGAGAGATTTTAAAGGTCTAGGTATTGAACAAGTATCCCCCTACTGGAGAGGTGGTGATAGAAATCTCAAATTATCCCAAAGAGAAACCTATTGGATCTATCTATTAGATTGTTTAGAACCAAAGGGGATGAATGTAGATATAGACCTAGCCTGCTTTATGACATGATACTCTTTCTCTCCTTCTACCTATCATTACCACAAGAGTTTCGACTGTTGGGTTTTACATTTTATTTTTTATTTTGTATTTGAGGTTGAAATTTGCATCTCCCCTCTAAAAGAAATGTTTTTTTGTATTGATTATGGATTTGCACGAGTTGAGACACACATAACGTACTGTTACACACTTATTCTTCCATACTTACAAATATTTTCACATTTCTTATGATACCTGAGCTATTTTTAGATTTAACAGCTCTTTATATCGTATAAAATTTGGAACAACCATTCATTGGGTTTATTATCCATCCTTTAAATATTTAGTTCCTTTTCCTCCCTATCTCTAATGAAATGTTTGGGGTTTTTTGGGGGGGGGGTTTTTTGTTTTTTTTTGTTATATTATTTATCAATAAATTCACTTTCACTTCAAAGTTGAATGTGGAAAAAATTATTTTTATCCACTTATCATTAATCTCTTAATATCATTCTCCCATTTGATTGGTATACCATCCCCTTTTTTAATGACTCAATTTTTCTCCTCTTAATTCTATAAATGGAGTCACTCCAACAACATGTTTTCATTAATTATTCCATATAATTTACAAATATAGATTCATCAAATTTTTTTACACATTAGCAATTTACTAACACCTTTTTGGTAATTCCAAACTTAATTGAAAACAATTTAATTATATTAAAAAAAAAGGGGTATATTTTTTTTATATCAACACATCTTTATGATGAGAGATGCATTTCATCCTTAATTTTTTTTTAAAAACGAGTCTATTTAGTATTGCTGATGTTTAACCCCTTAAGGACACATGATGGAAATATTCCATCATGATTCCCTTTTATTCCAGAAGTTGTGTCCTTAAGGGGTTAAATAACTGTTTTATTTGTGTTTATGTTGAACTCTTATCTTTCTTGCCTTTAAGCATCAGATGTTCTCTGTGGAACGCAGTTTTACACACTGTTGGAACGCATAGACGTTCAGGACATTCCGACCAGAACCGGAAGTGATGTACGAAACCGGAAGTGGAGTGTGGAACGCATACTCGGTCCAGTGGAACGCAAGTCGGATGGATTCACACAAATCCTTATCAATCATTGCGCCCACATGTCCACATCAATAGAAATCCCCAGGAGACCATTCCATCACTCTGTCCACCAATGAAACACAGCCACACCTGATTGATCTTTAATCAACTTCATTTGGAATGTGTATATAATGGGACTTGGGGGAGGGGGGGTTATATGCATGTTTTTTATGTATTGTTATACAGTTTGCGTTGGATGAAACGCGTTAGATCTAATTCTTATGTTATATATTTTATTTTATTGGGCATTTGTGCCCTAAATAAATCTACTTTTTTCAACATCTCTGAATCTGGAACCTGATTATACCTGGAGCTATTCAAGCCTGGCAATTGTCTACCATCCTCCACGGTGGAAGCGGTCCAGTATAATCCCTCAGTGGATTTCAAGGCGCTTTATTCATTTAAATCCTAAGAGTGCAACCATCATTGTAGTGTTGTATTTACATAACTGTACTTCACTATGTACTTTTGTTTTTCTTATTGTAGTTTGTAGCTGTATCCCTATTTCCTGTTCTTTCTACATATTGAATATTAATATTGTATGATGAATAAAAGTTAAAGGAACATTATATAGTGAAATGAATACAAATATGTATTTATGTCACTATAGTTATGAAAACACATGTTATGCTTCCAGACCCTTTATCAGCTAAGTGAAAGGAGATTTTACTCGGAAAAGGCAGTGTTTACATTGAAAGGCCTGCACGGACTTGCTGTAGACAACAGAACAACTACGTTAAAGGCACACTCCAGACTCCTAAAGCACAATTAAGCTTTCTCAAAAGCTTTGTGTGTGAAGAGTGTCCTCTTTTTTTAAATTAATTTTACAAAAAGTGCAGATTTCAATAGAAATTGGCACTTTTATAAATTCACCTAGTTACACCCCGCTGGCTTTCAAGCTGACAACTGGTCCTGTTACTTCCTGGTTTGATTAGCTCAGTAGAGCTAAACTCAAGAGGTAGCAATTGGTCAGAGCACTTACCTTGCAAAGACTTCTCATTGACCTGCATTAGGAAGTCTGTATTCGAACAACTACAGAAAGTCAGGGAGGGGTTAGAAGTGGAGGGCTGGCAAAGGTAGCAGACAAGAGACATGCAGGTATTGCAGTAGTTTTTAGATATATACCAATGAAAAAATGCACAATTAAATGTGTGCATTATTTCATTGGAGGTAAATCTACTAAACTGTGATTTTCATTTATTTTGTATTTGGGCAGTGGAGTGCCCCTTTAAGCCGTAGTTGTTCCGGTGACTATTGTGTCCCTTTCAGTTTTAAGACTTAACAACATTACATTTGTTTCTGGCTAACTACTTTCCAGTTCATTACGGGGCTCATAAAACAATACCTTTTGATGACATGTATTTCTTCATAAAGATTTACATTTTAAAATATTTGCTTTGCATATTCTTGATTACAGATTTCCTTTTAATATCTTGACCCACTAGAGGGTGCACATGATTCACTTAAAATGTCAAATACAAGTAAAAAATGATGTTGTATATCATATATATTTTTTACAAGCAATGTAGCCATTTTCTGCTTTCACCTATATTACATAAAAGACAGGAATTAATAACAGCGTATACCTATAATCATTACCTGCAGTTACTCATTTGTAAATAGCTCATAGCTGGTTTAGTAAAATAACAGACATGTATTGTACTATTAGTGTCCTCTTTTAGGATGATCTAAGAGGCACACAATAATGCATACATATTTGATTTCGTGTGGATCACAAACTATTGGAGACATTTCTAAATAAATTGCATTTACATGAACATTGATAACTCATAAAGACAATACTTATTTTTTTCAGAATGCAAGGAACTCGTTTATTTTGGTAGTCTTTTTCAGATAAAAGCAATAACTATTTTGTGTAAACTCAAATACAATGTAACAGTTCATGTTTTCTATCACTGATATTGTTATGGGAATGTTACCTGTTAAGATAAGTGTTGGATGCCATTTATAGGGACACTATTGTGAAAATGTTTTGTTAACTTATATATTTTCATATATAGTCTAATGTTTGGGGCAAAAATATAGACAATTTCATAAAAAGTGAAACTGATATGGTGTAAAGAGTTTCACACCAGTTGCATTATATAATCATTACCTTATTATTCCCTCAGTCTGAAGTACTCTTACAAGATGCCGTTGAGATGCATCTGTAATGATGTGTTAGCAAGCACAAACCTGTTAGATGGATTTTCTCTTCCTCGACTGTTTCCCTCTTGTTACACAGTCTTTAGAGTTATTTGCATTATAAAGGCCATTTTTGTGGAGAAGACCTCCCTACAACATCATAGGGATGCCCTCCTAAGATGTGATTTCATTTGATATGTGAATATTGCCATCTTGTATATTTGCAATTTTGTACACATTCCCACAGAGCCCATCTCATCTGAAGACTGGACTTTAATGCTAGAGGACCTGCTGGCATTGCTGGAATTGTAGCTTTCTGATTGTTTTGCTGCCACACAGAAAATATAAGAATTAATTACACTTGACACTACTTGTTATTTATGAATATGGCTGCATGTATCTGCCTTTTGGTAGACTACAGTAATGCAAAGGCTTTTAGAAAAGTTGTATAAGCAAGAGCTGGAGATCATTATGAACTATTCTTCCTGAAAAGAAAGATGTAGAAACAGCTTGAGGAATGATTCTTTTGCCTTCAATGGCCTTAAAGGACCACTATAGGCACCCAGACCACTTCCGCTTAATGACGTGGTCTGGGTGCCAGGTCCCTCTAGGAGTAACCCTTTCTGCTGTAAACATAGCAGTTTCAGAGAAACTGCTATGTTTACTTTAGGGTTAATCCAGCCTCTAGTGGCTGTCTCATTGACAGCAGCTAGAGGCGCTTCCGCGCTTCTCACTGTGATTTTCACAGTGAGAAGATGCCAGCGTCCATAGGAAAGCAGTGAGAATGCTTTCTTATGGACTGGCTGAATGCACGCGTGGCTCTAGCCGCGCGTGCACATTCAGCCGATGACGGGGAAAGGAGGAGGAGAGTCTCCAGCACCGAGGGAGCCCGGCGCTGGAGAAAGGTAAGTGTTTAACTCCTTCCTCTCCATCCAGCCCGGCGGCAGTGGGACCCTGGGGGTAGGGGCACCCTCAGGGCACTATAGTGCCTTGAAAACGAGTGTTTTCAAGGATTCTCAGATACCTTCATGCCATCCTGGCAGTGCAACACATCATGCATGCTAGTCGAGGGATACTTTCTACACCATAGCGAAAAGTAGCCAGGGACTTTATCACTACGACCAAGCCAGTCACCCAAGGGTGACTATACCAAGCATCATCAAGACTCCTTACAAATCACCTTCTTTAGATAATATCTGGATGTTTCACAACCAAATCCTACCATATTTGCATACCACCCCCTCCCAGGGGAAAAAAAAACAAATGCACCGTTTTTTTGTATGTGCCAGTGTGTGTATGTATCATACACACATACACATACACATACTGGCACATAGTGGCACACAGATACACACACCTTGACACACAGTGTGTATCTGTGTGTGTGTGTGTGTGTGTGTGTATGCATGTATCTGTGTTTGTATGTGTCTGTGTGTATGAATCTGATGCACAGATACACACACACACACACACACACACTGGCACATAGTGGCACACAGATACACAAACGGACACAGATACATGTGTATCTATGTGTCAAAGTGTGTGTATCTGTGTTTGTATGTGCCGGTGTGTGTGTATATCTGTGTTTGTATGTACCAGTGTGTATCTGTGTCAGTGTGTATATGTGTGTGTGTGTATATGTAACTGACACACACACACACACACAAACAGACACACACACTGGCACATAGTGGCACACAGATACACACTAACACACACCTTGACACACAGATACACACACTCACACACACTGACACACACATCTTGACTCACAAATACACAGGCACTCAGATACACACAGTGATATATACACACACTTGCGCCCACAGCTACACACACTCAGATACACACATTGACACATACACACAGTGTCATATACACACACATAGGCACATACAAACACACTGATAAACACTGGCACATATACATACACACACACACGGACATACACACAATGACATATACAAACCTTGACACACAGACACACACATACTCTTTGACAGACACATATACACTCTCAGTGACCCACATACTCTTTGACAGACACACACATACACTCTCACTGACAAACACACATACCCCTACCTTTGGGAGTGCTGACATGGAGTCTGGGCTCAGCGTGGGGTCCAGTGGGGCTGCTTAGCGGCTGGCGTGCAGGCGGCAAGGGAGCAGTGATCGCGTGCCTCTTAGTGATGCCGAAGTGATGTCATATTCCGGCTCCAGCATCACTGCTGTGTGCGCGAGTGAGCTAAGCAGGGAGATCACTGCCCACTGCTCCCTTGCCACCCTCGGCCATTTTATTTTTACAAATTTTGGCGGAACACTAGGGTTCTGCGGAACACCAATTGGGAAATGCTGCCTTACAGGAATAGCAGCTTCAGAAATATACACAAATATTTTGGAGTTCATTTTTTCATTCAGATAGCAAAGCCTTGCTTTCCCGTACTTTTTATTAAAAATTGCCTTCCGCATATTCATTTTGTCCATTCACCTATTCATTTCTGTATCAAACATAGTCCCATTGGTGAGAAGCTTTGGTCCTGGTAGTAACAGTTTCTTTATAGACTTAATCACTGGTGTTCCATTTTCCTTTTATTTTAGATTTTAGGGCCACAAGCAAGATCTCATGCTTACCCCTTTGCTGATGCTGTCATTGTCACTTACAGTATAATAAGAACATTTACAGCTTGCTGCACTGGTTATGGTGCGCAAAGTGCACTGATACCATCCTATGGTAAGTAATGAAACCATTTTAATACTTTTTGACAACTTATCTGAGACCCACCAGGTGCCTAGGGGGGCAGCCCTGCTTTCCAGTTCCCTCGTGCTCGAGAATCTGGTTAGACCTATGGAGATATTCAGGGCCATGGATCGGCTGTGCTTTATTTTATAGAGACATCCAACTTCTCCTGCAGGTTTCATTGTCCTGAGCTCCC